GCCGGGAGCCCGATGTGGGACTCGATCCCAGGACCCTGGGATCATGACCTGAGCCGAAGGCAGTCGCTTAACCAACTGAGCCACCCAGGCGCCCTGCAATGGGAGTTTTAAGAGAAAATTCTACCAGATTTGGAAGCAAAGAAAATACAGTGCAGAATTACATTTCTTTTCCTTATGTGCCTGAACTGCATCTTTGCCAGTGTACAAATTGAACTGGATTATAAATCTAGCCTTGCAACATCTAGCCTTGCTAGATGACTATATACTTGCTTTGCATTCTAAGGATACATTTGGCTTAGTCAGTTAAGCCTCGGACTCTTGATCTCAGCTCAGGTTTTGATCTCCGTCGTGAGTTCAAGTCCCATCGTCGTGGAGCCCACTTTAAAAAAAAAAAGATTTCAGCAGAGAATAAAAGAGCTCAGATATACACTGAAACTTTTGAAGCACAAATTTCTGTTTTACGTGTCCTCGAGTATACACAAAATGAAATCTGGTCAACCCTATTACATCATGTTATTTCATGACATTCTAAAAAGATATCTTAAAAATGTGGTGACATTGATTTTTCTGGGTTTAAAAAAATAATAAAATCAAGTCAGGGAAAGACATACCATATGATTTTCCTCATGTGGCATTTAAGAAACAAAACAGATGCACAAAGAAAAAGACAAATCAAAAAACAGCTTCTTAGCTACAGAGAACAGGCTGAGGGCCACCAGAGGGGAGGTGGGTGGGGGATGGGTGAAATTGGAGATGGGGATTAAGAGCACAAGCACTGTGATGCGCACTGAGTATTGTACAGGTACAGGGTTGTTGAATCACTGTATCGTATACCCGGAACTAATACGTTCGTATAATATAGTATGTTAGCTATACTGGAATTGAAATTTTAAAAATAATGAGAAACTTCACTAGTGTAATGGAGATTCAGAGTGCAGTTTAACATTTACTTATTTTTAAATTGCTTATTAGCCATCTGAATACAATACAGTGGGTCACAATTCAAATTTACTAATGAAGAGAAGAAAGTATAGTATATTATCGTACTGGGTGATTTATAGACTTATTCAGAGGTCATAAAAGTTCTCAACAACCTTTTCATAGTAAAGAGACTAAGCTCATATGGTTCACTTAAAATGAAGAAAGGAGGTAAGCCATCGACTTCAGCACCCTCCCATCTGCCCTGTCTTTTCTCTTTTCAAACCAGGATGTTGACAATGCTTCTTTGGCACGTCTTGACCTTGAGCGTAAAGTGGAATCCCTGCAAGAAGAGATTGCCTTTTTGAAGAAACTACATGATGAGGCAAGTGGAGCCACGTTTCGTGAATGAATGTGGATGAAGTTGCCCCCATCCTGGGCATGGCTGACCTTCTGTCTGTTCTTTCTGCAGGAAATCCAGGAGCTGCAGGCCCAAATTCAGGACCAGCATGTCCAAATCGATATGGATGTTTCCAAGCCTGACCTCACGGCTGCCCTGCGTGACGTACGCCAGCAGTATGAAAGCGTGGCTGCCAAGAACCTTCAGGAGGCTGAGGAATGGTACAAGTCCAAGTTTGCCGACCTCTCTGAGGCTGCTAACCGGAACAATGATGCTCTGCGCCAGGCGAAGCAGGAGTCGAATGAGTACCGAAGACAGGTGCAGTCCCTCACCTGTGAAGTGGACGCCCTCAAAGGGACTGTGAGTATCCCATCCCACTAAAAAACGGACCATAAGCCGCTTGTGTCATGCACATTGATCAAGCTCATGGTGCTATCCGAACAAAACCTCAAATGAAGACAAATTTATGTTTTAATCCAAAGAAAATGAGCTGTCAGGACAGATTCAAAGAGCACTTCGAGATGTGAAGGTTTTAGCTTATACCTGTATTCTTGCTTCTAATACTTGATGCTTATATCCTTCACCTGAAGTTGGAGTGCTGCTCCCCATTTTTGCCACTAGGGGAACAGATCGTGGGTCTGGGAATAGCTGGGGGTTTCCTGGGAAGTAACAACGGAAGCCTCTCTTACCTCCTGCAGAATGAGTCTCTGGAACGCCAGATGCGTGAAATGGAAGAGAACTTCGCCGTCGAAGCTGCTAACTACCAAGACACTATTGGCCGCCTGCAGGATGAGATTCAGAACATGAAGGAAGAGATGGCCCGTCACCTTCGGGAATACCAGGACCTGCTGAATGTCAAGATGGCTCTCGACATTGAGATTGCCACCTACAGGAAGCTGCTGGAAGGCGAGGAGAGCAGGTGTGGCACAAGGGCTTATGCACGTGTGTTAATAGGTACCCCTTTTTAGGAATTATGCCCCTCACTTTACCTACATGCGTTACCTCTTCATCTTTAGAACATTTCTTCAACGTAGCTGCTGACCACTTCGTATAGATATGGAACCTTAGGTTTGGGAGATTTAGTAACTAACTTGCTCTAATCAGTGTTAATCAGTGGCAAAGCTGGGATTTGAACTCACAACTCAGGGAGCGCCAACGCTTTTCCCACTCTGCAATGCTCAGAGAAAACACTCAAAGGAAAAGATTTTAAATGTACTAATGAGACCGTCCTAGGTAAATACTTCGGAGGCAAATCCCTCACTTAATGAACTACGAAAATACATTCTCTTATTTGATGAAAACAAGAAGTTGAAGAAATTCATTCCTTATTGTTTGAGTCGTTTTCCAAAAATTATACTGTTTTTCTTTATCTCTATATAGGATTGCTCTGCCTCTTCCAAACTTTTCTTCCCTGAACCTGAGGGGTAAGCATTTGATCTCCCCTTATGAAAAATTTCAGCAGCTTGTAACCAGTCCGTTTATGATAAAGCACTAATTTGCTAAATGATTTTTTGAAAATGCCATACAAGATAAACTCCTATAAAACATCCATAATTTTTAGACCCAAGTACTGTCTTATAATCTGTGCTGCCAGTTAAATTTCAACTCCCTTGGACTTCTTCCTTTGGAGTATGCACTGAAATAGTCCATCCTGATGCTACCGCGTTACCAGGCCCTAGTAAAGTCTTGAGAATTATTTGGGGAGGAGCGCTTTTGACGGTTGTGAACAACGATCATAATTCTTTGGGCAAAATAGTTACTTGTCTTTTTAGAATTTCACTTTTACTAATTTTGGGCGATTTTTCTTTATTCAGAAACCAATCTGGATTCCCTCCCTCTGGTTGACACTCACTCAAAAAGGACACTTCTGATTAAGACGGTTGAGACTAGAGATGGACAGGTTGGTATATTTCAGCCAAAACGCATAATCTCAGGCAGACATCGATAGCTTTGTGAATCAATAAGTCTATCTCAGATAACACCTGGCTAATTGGGGAGGTTTTGATTTCACTCATGACCCCTCAAAAGAGAATAGGCCTTTTTTCCCGGCACGACACACAGCCAACTATTTGGCTCCTGAATATGAAGGTGACATAGCAGTCTTCCTACTGTCCAAAATAAGTGATTGTTTTCCTACGCTCCTTAATTTAAGATCAGCGCACAGCTTCTTTAAGTTACTTCCTAGACTCATTCCATGAGCTACTTCAGTAGACTCCCTTGATATCAGGAATGTTTTGATCCTGGACATACGGGCTTCCCTACTGACTGCCACCTGAATACTCTTAGGCCCTTTGACATAGCACAAGGATATGCCGGATAATCAGTTCGTTTCTCGTTACTTCTCTACGCCAGGAAAGAAATGGCCGAAATCTGTTGCGATCTTCATGGAATCTCCCCTTGCACATACACTTAAAATGCACTTGACTGTACAGTTTAGTCCGTCTTCGTGGCTTTTAAACTTTGCTGCATAGGATTATCACAGCATCCTTCATACACAGTTTTAAGTTTTCTTTTTTTAAGTGCTAACATTCCATAGGATACTTCTTTTGCGTGTAGGTGAAGAGCGTCTTACACATGTATCTGTCCCTCCTAGCTGTGACCTTGGCCGTGCACAGCTAACATAACCTGCCTATTTTCACCATCAATGATACCTACTTAGGAGGGTTTTCCTTTGTCATGCTTATCGGGGTAATTTCATCTTCAACAGGTATTCTATTTGATTCGAATTTTTTTGTTAACAGGTTATCAATGAAACTTCTCAGCATCACGATGACCTTGAGTAAAGAGGGCACAGAGTCAGTGCAGCAATACTACCAGCAAGAATAAAAAAGAAATCCGTATCTTAAAGAAACAGCTTTCAAGTGCCTTTCTGCAGTTTTTCAGGAGCGCAAGATAGATTTGGAATAGGAATAATCTCTAGTTCTTAAGAACCAACACTCTTAAAAGATTTAGGAAAAAGTTTACAACATAATCTAGTTTATGAAGAAAACTTGTGCTAGAATACTTTTTAAAAAGTATTTTTGAATACCATTAAAACTGCTTTTTTTCCAACAAATATCTGACCAACTTGTTTCTGCTTCAATAAATCTTTGGAAAATTCTTTTGGTGTGTTACTTATTTGCTTCTATCAAAACAGTTCTCTAAATTTTATGGGAATCTGTGTCAGTGACTTTTTTTTGGGGGGGTTCCTAATCTGATGAATTTGCCACAAAAATCAAGTTTCGGTTAACTGGATAAATTCAACTTACTTCCGCTTCAGATATCATTCTTACTTTGGCCATTGTAGGTATAGTTCACTTCTTTTTTTTTTTTTAAAGATTTTTTATTTATTTGACAGCACAAGTAGGCAGAGCAGTAGGCAGAGGGAGAGGGAGAAGCAGGCTCCCCGCTGAGCAAGGAGCCCGATGTGGGGCTTGATCCCAGGACCCTGGGATCATGACCTGAGCCGAAGGCAGATGCTTAACCGACTGAGCCACCCAGGTGCCCTGACTTCACTTCTTTTCAATGAAGTTATTTAAATTTACAAATAGCTGACCTAGAATAGAATAACTTGTACAAAAATGCCGATAGGTCTTTTCATAAAATGAGTTCAGCTGGGGCCATGCCCCTGTGTGATTTCGATTCTAACAAATACACTTTCTAAAATTAAAGACTTTGGCTAAAGGGAACTTCTGGGGGCACATGCAGCAGGTGGAGTAGCCCAGAGTCCACTGTGGGAGTTAGAACGAGGGGCAATGGCAGGATAGAGGGGCTGTGGCGTCTTCAATTAGCAAGACACAGAGAAGGGACAAGTCCATCAAGCTTGCAAAACCTGGAGCAGTGAGAATGAGTGATACAGCTCTGAAAACCTTCAGGCCTCTGGAGGATGGATAGAGTTGAGACAAATAGGGGAGAGAGGATATTGCCCAGAGGCCATAGAGTTGTCACGGTTGGTAGTGTGTGTGTTCTGAGGGAAACTCCTTTGGGCAAAACCCTGGACTTCTTGACATCCCAATTTCCCATATAACTACTACCTCCCTCCTCCAGGACGGAGGTGATAGGCATTTGCCGTCATCTTTAGGTGCTCACTTCTGCCTCTCTTGAGTTGCTGAGGGGAGTGGTAGGTAGTTAATGGAAAGCCCACCTAAGGGCCAGACATTAAGTGCTAAGTAACACTGGCTGAGATTTTCATCATTTTTGTTCCGGGGGCAGTGCAGGAGTAAAGAAAGGATTGGCTGCATTACTTAGTAATAGTGCCCCCTTTAGGCTCATAACTGTACTTGTTTGGACAATAGATTATATCTGGTCATCCGACCCTCAGTATAATCTTACAGGAAAGGGTGCTTATCCTGAGAGTCCTTGAGTGTGCCTGCCCCCTCCCCCCCACCAGCCCCCATATTTGAACAACTGGTGTGTTTAATGGTGCAATCAGCATTACCACAGCAAACATCCAATACTCGGGGCCCTAACAGACATTTTATATTTGATTTTTGGTTTTCTTTTCTGTCCGTCAGCCATTCCTACCACCATCCCCATCAACCCTATTTTTCCTGCCTCCTCTGCCATTTCTATTCCACCTCTGGCTTAGGAGGATTATCCAGGGAAGACAAGAGCTCCATGTTGGTTTTCTTCAAACGTGTGACCTTTCATTATTTAAAAAATAATTAAATAAAAATATGGGGTTTTTTTTCCAGGAAGAAAAGAACCAGGATAACAAGGAGTTCTGCCCCTATACTCTGAGACTGGTGGGTTCCCCAGCCTTCAAAGTCCCTTACAGCTCTTTCTAAAATCACCTCCCCAAATTGGCAAAGATGAGCCAGCCTCCCTTATCTGTGACCTTCAGAAATTAGCCCTTCCTGAAAAGCCTCGTAGGGGCTCACCTCACAGGAATTTAAATCTCTTTAAGTCTTTTTTATTTTTATCTTTAATTATACTTCTAGCATTTTCCTTATCTCCCACTTTGAAAAACTAATAAAAAGAAACTATGTTCTCACCACCTATGGTGAAACAAAGATTTACGCTTGGTTCTTTTATATATAACATTAATCCAAGACTAAAGGAGATAAAAAAAAAAAAATAGGAGGTAGAGTGAAGGAAATGATGACATAAAGTGATGGCTGGAAAAAGTTACCACGGGGACTGTGAGCTCCAGAGAAATAATGTGAAAATTGAGTCCAGCTCAATTTTCTCAAAGTAGTGACAGATGGAGGAGGGGGCTGAGAATGAGACAAATGTTCAACTTAGTTACAACATACCTGATGGAGGATTCACCTTCCCACCACCAGCCTCTGACAAAGGCACTGGGACAAATGAAATCTTTCTTTCTCGATTGTGAGGGAGGGGTGAATGTTGGGGGAGGGGGATGGAAGGGAAGGGAAGGTAGGAGTACAGCGGCTTCCCCTCCTGTTTCCTGAAGAAAGCAATGAAAGAGCAAACACTATGCCTGCAAGAAGGCTTTCTCTCCAACCTGGCAGGCTTCAGCTAAATAAAGGGTCTGTATCAGTCTCTTGTGGTGGCCATAACAAAATACCACAGCCTGGGGCTTAAACAACAGAAATGCATTGCCTCACAGTTCTGGAGGCTGGAAGTCCAAGATCAAGGTGTTGGCAAGGCGGGTTTGTTCTGAGGCTCCTCTCCTTAACTAATCTCTTCTTACAAGTAAACAAGTCACACTGAAATAGGGGCCACCCATATGACCTCATTTTATCTTAATTACCTCTTGAAAGACCTTATCTCTAAATACAGTTACATTCTGAGGTATGAGGGGTTAGGACTTCAACATATGACTATGGGGCTGTGGGGGAGGGGACACAATTCAGCCCCTAACAGGGTCACAGTTAAACATTTGGAGAACATTCTTGTCTGTATTCGAAAGAAGTCTGTGGGGCACCTGGGTGGCTCAGTCGTTAAGTGTCTGCCTTCGGCTCAGGTCATGATCCCAGGGTCCTGGGATCGAGCCCCGCATCAGGCTCCCTGCTCTGCGGGAAGCCTGCTTCTCCCTCTTCCACTCCCCCTGCTTGTGTTCCTGTTCTCGCTATCTCTCTGTCAAATAAATAAATAAAATCTTTAAAAAAAAAAAAAAAAAGAAGTCTGTGATAGAGATTTTCAAAAGGGCATAATTTAGAACAAAAAAAAAAGAAAGAAAGAAAGGAAAGTGATATGGTGTTGATGGTATACCCAGTTAAGACTATATAAACGTTTAAAATTTGACAGGCATATGTGGAGATCTACTCCTCTCGTGGCCATCAAGACAAGCCTCATATATAAGTTCCCTTGCTTATTAAAACTACCATCTACCAACCTACCAGCCAGCCTCTTTCTTTGGTCTCTCCCTGTTCGCCACATGCAGGTGCTGGTTTCAGATTTCACTCAGGCAGCTTGCTAAGCGATGTAAGGAGAGATACCACCATTGTATCCCCAAAGCTTTTTCTGAAAGCCTTTTGTGATATGGACCCAGTATTCTCTTTCTGGCCACCTTCTCGCTGACCTTGAAGCAATGTGTACCTCTTTGAGAAAAAGATGATGAGTGATGGTTTTAATGTCCCTTTACATCTTGCCGAAGACAATTCCATACCTAATTGTTCAACATCCATGAACAACATTAATTTGTTGTTCAACTGAACAAATAAATATATAGTCTGACCTTAACTTCAGGAAGCCTATATTACGTTTGACAGTCTCAAAAGCGTTTCTCTTCCTATTCACTGCCTATTTCGCCACACCACAACAAAGCCCATCTTTCGATTCTAATTAAATATGGATAATATATGCTACCTCCGTATAATCTCCTAGGTGTAGGGTTATGGGCACAGTCAGACACTGGAATGTTTTCCTCACCACCTCCAGATAAACTCTCTTCCCCTGTCTCCAGGTGGTAGATAGGATGAACTGCTCATGAAACAAGGCAATCAGCTCCAGGCCGAATACATTTCAAAATGTTTCTCCCTATGGGGTTTGACAGAAACAGGCAATTTTTGTTCTCCTTGCCATGCACTTCAGCAAATCATCCTGGCTCTTCTGAGTAGTCACCTTTCAAGCCCATGAGTTACCTATTTGAGTTCTTTTACTTCAAACTGACAGGGCAATGCTAAAGCAGAATGTCATCCGTCAAGTTCCAGGCTGTTCTAGTCGAGAATCAGATACGCTCAGACCTATGCTAGTTTTCATTACCATGGGGTAATGACATTTTTGGCTTGACCATAACGTCCTCTTGACCATACTGGGTTGAGGAAAATTTTATGGTTTTCACGAAAATCAATAAAGAACAAGTGAGATTTTGTGAGGGAAAGAACTATCTAAAATGTAGGCTGCCTGGGTGGCTCAGTTGGTTAAGCAACTGCCTTCGGCTCAGGTCATGATCCTGGAGTCCCGGGATTGAGTCCCACATCGGGCTCCCTGCTTAGCAGGGAGTCTGCTTCTCCCTCTGACCCTCCCCCATCTTGTCCTCTCTCTCTCTCTCTCTCTATCATTCTCTCTCTCCCAAATAAATAAATAAAATCTTTAAAAAAATAAAATGGTTGATCAGAAAAACTATGAAGTCAGGGTGGCTGGGTGGCTCAGTTGTTGGGCGTCTGCCTTCGGCTCGGTCATGATCCCAGAGTCCTGGGATTGAGCCCCACATCGGGCTCCCTGCTCAGCGGGAAGTCTGCTTCTCCTCTTCCACTCCCCCTGCTTGTGTTCCCTCTCTCGCTGTCTCTCTCTCTGTCAAATAAATAAAATCTTAAAAAAAAAAAAAAAAGAAAGAAAAAGAAAAACTATGAAGTCGCTATTCCAAAGCAACTCTGCATTCATACGATTTGGCTAAGGGGCCTTCTTTTAAATAGACCTCTGTGGATAAAGTTTGGGTTCATAAAATTGGAGTCTGCCTTAATGATGCAAAGTTGAATTTCAAATAAGGCCAAAGCCTGAGAAGATGAAGTATAGCATTCAACCATCTACCCAGAAGAGAGAGAGGCATGCATTTTAAGGATAGAGGATCCCCAAAGCTATCACATGGGCCAGGGGCAGGCAGGCTTTCTTGATATACTAATCAGATTCAGCAATAGCTAGACAGTCTTTGGGAAAGGTACCCATGCAAGTGGGCCCCTGTGTGGCCATCAACCTGCCATTGTGGCGGCTCCG